CCCCAAAACCCCAAAACCCCAAAACCCCAAAACCCCTGGGGATGATATTAGGTTGAAAGATTGTTAAGCTGGTCATTGATGAGATAGGCAAGTTTTGAACATTATGACTGAAGCAGCGAAATGAACTCCTGCTCCTGCCAAGACAAATCAATGCCAGATGTTGTGAGAGTTTCCAATGTAGTCAAAGTTTCATCTTCTCTTCTTATCCTATAAAAGCTTATCTCTATGCGCAAGAAAAAGGATTACCTTGTTAAATCTTTCTGGAAATCTTGAACTATAAATTAGAGCCCCCAGGATATAAATCGCTCCTCCCAGAATTAGTAGAGACATAGGTGGAGCAGGTATATATCTCCTATCTCTGAAGCCAATAATATGAATAGCTGGGATGGCACTTGATAATCCGACTACCATAAATAAGATTGCTCTTCAAAACCTGTACTCCGGTGCATCAAATTTTGGAATGAGGCTTACTATATTGTTAAAGTTATGAATTTCATCGGGACAAGGAAGAAGGTTTTAAAACAAAATGAATCTATTGGTAAAATTTATGAATAATTAGAAGTCATAAACCAAATCTAAATATTTTCGAAACTCTTCCAGAAATTATATTACTTACCACCAAATGCTATGGAACATCCAGCTACCATACTGAATGTGTATGTATATCCAAAAATAGAGACTTGAGGACACCAGAATAAATAAATGTAGATAGGAGTGCTTGAGCCTGCTATCATCACCGCAATTCCACCATAATCAAACCTTGAAAGGACATTTTGTGCATTTTCAGAGTGTCAATTGAACAAATGAAACGTCGAGCTGAGGAAGAAGCAGATCATTGCTCAGATAATGTGAACTATAAGATATTGCAACAGGATTACTGCCTAAGGGAACTTTACTGACTGTGTGACTCCTTTGATCTGGTTCATTGATATTGCTCAGGAGATCATCTCTATTGAGTAAATTAATCACTCTGATAAATTCCTTACAAAATAGGTGTTAATTTTAACTGCTAAAATAGAGAATTTGAACAAGTATATGTATCTTTTAGAAATTTCCTGCTAAAGTCAATCTTCAAAAATTTCTGCCAATCATGACTTACTTGAATAATTGTAGGAGCGAGGATGGAAGTGTAGTGGCCTCAAGGCCAATGGCTATGTAGAAAATAATTCAGAAGAATCCTAGGAAGCCAAGGAGATGAGTCCAGATGTTAACCGTTTCATTATGACATATGAATAGTGACCTCATGATGATTCAGAAGTCACTGTAGCCTATCCTGTAGCCAGTCCGGATTTCAGGGTTATCCTTGAGGTACTCATCTGCTTCTTCATAAGTTCCGATGAATGGTTTACTAGGTAGCTTAGAGGATAAAGGGTTTTCATTGTATTTTTGGTTATACAAGCATTCTCAATCTTGGTGATTAGTAAAATCTTCATTACTCTCCCCTAAAAATTATTAATAACTTGTAAGTCATAATTCTCGGTGAAGTGAAGATATTTGTGGAACAGGATAGCTTACTTCTCTCTTGAGTGGGTATTAGAGGAGTCTTAAGGCTATCCCTAAGACTCTCTTGAAAATCATGGCTCGAGCATCCTCCTCCATACTTGGATTCACTAAGTTCAATGGCTGAAACGTTCTTATCTACTGAAAAACTATACCAAAATTTGATATCAAGCACATCTAATCCTCAATATCCATAAAAACTATTTATATCACTTCAATATTCTTTCTCCCACCCTCAAAACTCTTCCTAATCTTCTCCTTTCCCTACTTACTCACTATCGAACCTTCTAGAACCTTTATTTTTCTCCATATCACTATAATAATTATTAAAAAATCAATTCCTAACCTCTTTCTAGGGGTTTTGGGGTTTTGGGGTTTTGGGGTTTTGGGGTTTTGGGG